ACAGTCTTGTACTGCACTTAAACGGAATAACACATGGCGCAGCCGAATAAGGAATGAAAACACGGAGTGGGGGCTGAATTGAAGCAAGATAAAAGCGAAGACAGCACGGACGACGAAGGTGATGACTTCAAAAAGGCCAATAGTAGCAGCACTTATGGTAGTTTGGACGTGAGACGCCCTGATCCCCTAAAGTTTGATGGTAATGTTGCAGAGCAATGGCGTGTTTTCAAACAAAATTTTGATATATATACGCCATAGCCATTGATTTGGAAGAAAGAAAAGAACAGCAAAAAAGTTGGAATATTTCTCAATGCGTGTGGTCCAGAAACAATTGAAATTTTTTAACACTTTTGGACTTACAGTGGAACAGAAGAAGAATTATGATGCAGTTTTTGCGGCAGTTGAAAATTACTGCACGCCAAAAAAAAATGAGGTGTATGAAGCTTTTAGATTCAATTCGCGGAAGCAGGAGGAGGGGGGAGCCATTCGAATCGTATTTGCTTGACTTGCGCAAAAGAGTGAAACATTGTGGGTATACGGACATGGGTAGAATGATTCGAGACAACATTGTTATTGGGACAAACAGTCAAAAGCTGCAGAAAAAACTCTTAGAAACAGAAAATTTGACTTTGAGCAGAGCCATTGAAATCGCGCGCGCTGCTGAGCTAGTGGACAAATATACAAATGAAATGCAACAACAAAGCAAATGCACAACAGTGAATGCAATAAGATCACACAAACAAATTTCGCAAAATAGCGGTGCGCGCAATACAATAGAAAATACTAAAAGTTTGAGCAAAGAAAATGTACGAGTTAAGCATAATTCAAGACAAAGTGCTAATTGTAAATTTTGTAAAGGGGTTCATGAGTTTGGCAAATGCCCAGCCTTCGGGAAAAAAAATGCAACAACTGCGGTCGTTTAAATCATTTTAGCGTTGCGTGTTATAGCTCACAAGTTCACGAAATAAAAGAGAGTGACGAAAAAAAGGGAAAGTGGCGATGATATTGTTTTGCATAATATTGAAGACTTATCAGTGGGTCGGAAAAGATGGTATGAAAAAAATCAGAGTGAATGATTGCCTCATAAATTTTAAGTTGGATACGGGTGCCGACGTTAATATTTTGCCTTACAAGTATTTTATAAAATACATGAAAAAATACGATGCTCTATGAAGGTGGTTTGCCACCACGCAGTTATAGTGGAGCTGAGTTGGATTACAAAGGTGTAATTCAATGTTTAGTGATGTGCCGAAATGAAATAAAGACTTTACAATTCACGGTTGTTGATACACCATACGAACCTTTGTTAGGACTATCAGCGTGTGAGCAGCTTAATCTTATAAAGCGTGTAAACGTCATTCGTGAAGCAACAAGGGATGAATTTATACGAAACTATAGAGATGTTTTTTGAAGGCACGGGATGTTTTGTGACGAACTTGGATATCCAGGTAAAGAAAAAATTCGGTTCCGGTGGTAAAACCAGCAAGGAGAATCCCACAGTCGTTAGCAGAAAAAAGTCAAAAATGAGTTACACAAAATGGTAGAAAATGGAATAATTGAACGCATGGATGGTCCTATTGAACGTGCCTCTAATCTTGTAGTTGTTGAGAAGAAATCAGGTAAACTTCGTTTGTGCATAGACCCGCAAGATTTAAATGCAGACATTT